GAATGCCACATGACCATGCCCCCCCACTGGGGGTGCTTCCTCTCTTCATTTCTTGCTCTGTCTCTCTCTAGTGAATGCATGTGCCCTCTGACAATTAGAGAAATAAATAAATAAATCAGCTATGATTTCATTTTGGAATTTAAAAAATTCTAAAATTAGATTATGGCAATGACTATATAACTCAGTAAATGTAATTAAACAAACCATTGAATTGCACACTTTAAACCTTCAGATTTCACAGTATGTAAAATATATCTCAATAAGCTGGGTTTTTTTTTTTTTTTTGGAGAGGTTTTTTGCTATAGGGCGTGTGCGCTCGCCAGACAGAGAGAGACATAGAGATAGAAAGCGAGAAATTAACCCCAGGAAGGATGGTCATGCCGCAATCCCTTCTCCTTCATTCTCCTCTCAGGATCTTGGGCATGCACGCACACGCGCCCGGCATGAGTTTTAAGCCACCGGGTCTGGGACGCGAACCGCTGTCGACTACGTGGGAGTCCAGTGACATAGCCATTACGCTAACTGCTGGTTCCCTCAATAAGCTGTTTTAAAACAAAAATATCTGTGAGTCTAATTATACCCTAAAAAGTTTCCTTAAAAGTTCTTCAGGGTAAAGGAACTACCAGAAAAAGTTAAATTTTGGCACTGTGCTAAAACATCAGAAAATAATAATATAGTAATAATGGCTAAGGTTTATTAGAGATATTTATATGTAATAAACTCCACACAATTATCTTTACATAATTATTTTTCTTTTCTTTTTTTTGAAGCAAAATATCCTTTTATTATGAATAAACTGTATTTGAATAAACCACCCACTCTGAAAACAGCAGGTCTAGCTTTTTATGAGCCTCCAGAAGAATACAATTGGAGCCTCTTAGACACGGTTCCTTCCCCACAGTGGGAAGAGCGTGTGTGTGTACATTCGAGAGACCCGATCCTACAGGATTTGGCCAGCCTCATCTAAAGTCACTCGTGTCTCCTTGCCTTAAACCCTGGCTCTGGCTTCACTGGTCCAGGAGGCCTCAGTCATGGGCCTGTGTAAACCGTTGGTCACTCATTCAATCTCCATCTTATTCTGCAAAGAATCCATGAAGTCTTGCCACTGCACTGGGTAGAAACATTTATAGATGGTGATCTTATTCAGAATCTGTTATGGGATGTCTTGATAGTAATTCTTCTCATCCCGGGCCATGGCCTTATAGTCCTCCCCACAGTTCTCCACCACGTAAAGTACACAGTCGATGAGATCCTAAGACAGGGTATTTCCTTTCTTTTCTGGGAGGCTGGCTTCTGCTTGGAGTTCAATTAGCACAAAAGGCTTCCACAAACTCTTTAGACCTCCCATGCACATCTACCTCCATGGCTTTCACCTTTCTCTTACGGAGGGGCACCGCCTTGTTGGGGTCCATAGCAGCCCCATCTCAGCCAGGTTCTGCCGCACGGATTTAGCATGATCCCAGGCATGTTGGACGTGAGTGCACTCTGTCCCCAGCATGCCTTCCGACCAGCATTCTGGTTTAGATGCTTTCGGTTGACATTGTAACCGAATTTCTACCTCTGGGTCTTGGTCATGTCGCGGACCACAGCACCAACAGCTCACACTGGAAACCCCTCACTTTCAGCACCACGTGTAAGACTCCTTCTGGCAGCCACATGCACTCATAATTATTTCATTCAAATCTTAGAGAAAAAATTTGCCAAGTAGGTACATTGATAATACTGCAGTTAATGCTTATAGGTTTTTTCCAATGTAGGTCTTGCAATGTAAGTATACTTTTTGTAAATTATCAAAATTAATTCATTTTTTTTCATTTTCATAGATGAGTATAAAACGTCTTTGAAACAGTTTAGATAGTCTTATAAAGTTGAAATGATATTAACATGCAAGTTAGAGTTTACCGCTGCAACATAACTACCTAGGGCTTGTTAACTCTGCAGAGCTCAGTGCCCTCCCTAGATCAGTAGTGGCTTTATGCAGCACCACGGTGAGGTTTTAATCCTGAATTTTTATAAAGCATTCCAGGTAATTCTGCCTCTCAGCCTTAGTTTGCAATCTCAAATTGTTTTCAGACTTTCTATTTAAGATACTTGCAATACATTACAATTCCACTAGATGGAGCCATGATTCAGGATTAACATTTTTCCATTTAAAATCCTTTAGTTCATGTTTTCCAAAGTAAAA